CTTTTTGCTTATGTGGTGCTGAGGAATCGAACCCAGGGCCTCAGGCATGCAAGGCAAGCGCTCTACCACTGAGCCACCTTCCCAGCCCCCACAGCTCCACTTCTAAAGGGATCATTTTTATTAGCTCATATATCCTGTTTTATAATTTGAAGCTATAGTCGACATATCTACAATTGAAAACTGTTTTGGAAACAAAACCCTAATAACATCAGTTTTACTAAGCTGCAGATTAAATGAAAACATAAAGAAGTATGATTGGTGAAAACAGGGTAAATTAGAAAGAACAGCATCAATCAATAGCAGGTGAATTTCATGTGTGGCAGAATACATAAAAGCAGAATGAGAAATTGAGTACCACATCCTAACCATCGAAAGACAGTATATCTTATATAGCCACATTCAAATGAACTTTTAATAATATAAGTCCCCAAATTTATAAAACAATTAAGAATTTTGAGGAAGAACAGTAAAAACAAAGACATCAACAACAAAAATATTTACTGTCTCTATACTTTTTTGTGTTCTAGTACTCAGTGCCTCCTACTCTCAGTTGGCTTACTTGCTCATGGCTGGTGCTCTACCACTTGAGCACTACAACCTGGCATCTTGCTGGTTAACTAGAGATGGCATCTCAAGGCCTTTTCTGCCTATGTTGGCTTTGAACTGCAATCTCTAGATGTCAACATCCTGAGTAGGTAGTATTACAGGAGTGAGTCACGGGCATCTGGCTCCACCTAGTTTTACAGATCTACTTAGAAGTCTGTAAGAATATGAGAACATCTACAATTATCTTTAAAAGCCAAAAGAAGACAGTATATTTTAAAAATTGGAGGATATCTTTATAATTTCATTTAGGGTAAAATAAGAGGGTGAAATATTCTAAAACTTTTTTTTGTTTTGGTTGGTCCTGGGGCTTGAACTCTGGGCCTAGGCGTTATCACTGAGCTCTTTAGCTAAAGGAGTGCTCTACCACTTGAGCCACAGCCCCACGTCCAGTTTTCTGATGGTTAACTGGAGATAAGAGTCTCACAGACTTTACTGCCTGGGTTGGCTTTGAATCGTGATCCTCAGATCTCAGCCTCCTGAGAACTAGGATTACAGGCATGAGCCACCAGTATCTGGCTCTAAAACATCTTTTAAAGATATCAACAGGTTCTTACTTTCTAAAGTGTGCATTTAATACATAACCCAAGAAAATCTTCTTTGTTTTGGCTACTCAAGGTCCATAATTATAAACATGCTATTCTAAATAAATATTGTAGGGACATTTCTACTGTAGTAATATTGAAAAAGTATCACTGAAAGAATTTGGAGGTATGGGGCTGGGAAGGTGGCTCAGAGCGCTTGCCTTGCATGCATGAGGTCCTGGGTTCGATTCCTCAGCACCACATAAGCAAAAAGATAAAAGCCGGAAGTGGCACTGTGGCTCAAGTGGTAGAGCACTAGCCTTGAGCTGAAGAGCTGAGGGACATCGCCCAGGCCCAGAGTTCAAGCCCCACGACTGGACCCTCGCTCCCCCCAAAAAAAAAGAATTTGGAGGTAGGGGCAATTTGTGAAACCTCCTACAAGGACTCAACATAACGTTGGCAAATCAGACTTTCCAGTGATCAATTTTTATCATATATATATATATATATATATATATATATATATATATATATATAAAAACTTTTGTTAGGGAGCTGGGAAGTTGGCTCAGTGGTAGAGCACTTGCCTTGCATGCATGAGGCCCTGGGTTTGATTCCTCAGTACCAC